GCTGCAATTTATTTTATTTGCAGAAAAGCATTGCAATATAACATGGGGAAATGGACTGAAATATGGGAAGAGCTGCATTCAAATGCAATCTGCAGTTCAAAATCCACAGGAAAACTGAATTTTCAATGCCTTGTTTCAAATTCAAGCTTGAGAGATAGAGGTCAGTGTGAGGGTCAAAGGGGCCATATATCAATCAAATACAGCAAGGATCCAAAATTCAAATATTTATTTTGATTTGCCCTAACATCCCAGATGGAGAAAGTATCATGTTCATGGTTATCCTGTAAAATGTAAGTGCTCCAAAATGGTATACAATGTTAAAACCAGTCAGGAGGGATGAAAACTTAGTGCCTACTTTTAGACAATACACAAAAGGCCATACCAGATGTTTTAAAAAATACAAAGGAAAAACAAAGCGAACAGAGCCAACCAAGCATTTCTACACAAATCCAGTCGATTCAAGATTCCTGCATTTTGCAAGAATGCTTGGCAGCTGCATGTAGTCTGCATTTAGAATGTAGCACAAAAACCCATCTACTGTATGTCAGATTAATGCTCGGTAATGGTCACAATCTGGGAAAGATATTATCTGAACACATCATTGTGAAGAGATCTAGCTGAGTTTTAAGCATGGAGGTTTTCCTGAACAACAAGAAAAACATTTCAGGCCTGATGAAGATCTAATAATATGCTACTGAACCTTGAAAACTTTTGTTGGAATTCTTAGTCTCTGCTTTCATTTTTATAAATTCATATATGGGAATCCAAAATATTTCTACTTGGAAGTACTAGATTGAGTGTACTCTTATTATCCAGTTGTACATGCAGAGTGGTTACCTATTAGCAACACACTACACAGAATGCTGAAGCATAATTGCTTATTATTAGTAGTTATTTACGCAAGCTGAGTAAGAAGTGCAACCTATAGTTGTACTATACTGAATACGTTTTGTTTCATAATGTGAAATGTGACAATCTGGATATAATTTGTCAGTATCTTCTATTTAAGAAATTAGTGATGGACCTTATTTTAAATGTATGCCACGTATTAAATCCATAGGCTGTTCTGCAGAATGTTGTTTTTTGCTGTACACACAAATATACAGCCTAAGTAACATATTTACAATGGTGTCATTTTTAATCTTAGTGAAATCTCAATCTTTATTAAATATAAATAGATTGAGTAAACCAAGAGCTATTGGCTTACTGATTCACAATTATTTGTTTATTCATTTGGCATTGACTGGAGTGGCAGACCTAACAACCTACAATGGCCCCTATAATTTTTCAAAAATTGGTAAAAGTGCAGAAAAAGTAGCTGAGGCTAGTATTCTATTCTTGGATGATGCTCCTTCTCTGAATGAGTACTTTATTGATTCCTAGTTATCAGTTGTTGTGATTGAAATCCAAGAGTTACGGTGTAGATCAGCAGCTCCCAACCTTTTCTATACCCTGCACCCCTAAAACGCTGCTATATTCTCGCACTCCTTACAAAAGTTCAAAATAACGGCAACAAATTATGCATATACACTATAATTTTAAAAACCCAAGTTTTCGCACCCCTTGGAATATCTTCTCAGTTGGGAACCCCTGGTGTAGATCCTAAAAACAAAGCATTTTACATCACTCCCAACAGTCTGTGGTTAGACATAGAAGGCATTCATACTAAGACTGAGTACTACATATTGCATTAAGCTTCTCTGTAAAAATTCATCATTGTTCTTATTATAGGCAGATAGGTGGGAAATGAAGCACAAATATCTACTTACAGTATGTCAGTAAAAATGAAATACTGCAGAATTTTTATTTTGCTAAATTACATCTTAGATTTTTTTTTAAAAAAAAAATAGTGGTTGGGAGCATCCAATACTTTTTCAAGGTACTTTTACTGTCTTGAGATGAACGTCTAGGGATTTGCACATGCACATTTCTAAATTAAGTTCAGAAGAAAAGTTTTTAAATATCTACCTGAAATAAATAGGCTTAATGTTGGCTGCATCATAGTCACTATTTGCTATACTAACCCCATGTGTCTATTTGTTCTTAACCATGGAACAAACATTCCCCGGCAACAGGTTTTCTCTGCTCTCTTCCCATGATATCTTAATTCTTTGCCCAGCCCATGTGTAAGATCTTTTCTCAGCTAATGATGTATAGTAACTTTTGCAATACACTCGTCCCATTGTTATACCACAGTAATAGCACTGGAAACAGGCTTTATATAACTCCAGTGACGCCATGAAAATTCTATAAGTCAGCAGAGAGTTAATGGCCTTGTTCTCAGCTATACTAATATTAAAGAAACATTTCCCTTTTTATTTTGACACTATCCAACAATAGCCTCAATTCACTAGGGTTTATCTTGGAACTTGAATGTAATCATTGTGCCTGGAAACAAAGGAAGACGGGATTAGCAATGGGGACAATAAGTGTCATGTCAGTATGTTTTTTCTGACAACTCAAAGATGGTCTTTGCTTGGTGGGGGAAAACCACAAGCAGTACCTTGGTCTTAGATCAACTTTTGTCCAAAAAACTATTAAAACTGTAAATATTTATAGTTTTCTTTATGCTTCTAGCTATTTAATTTTATGCTGCTCTGAACCCACCTGCTTATCAACTGCTTACATAGATCTTATTTAACTGCGTAATTAAAGTAATGATTCCATCTAAACACTTTTTGTAGTGTCTTTTTGATTTTGGTAAGACCAACTTCCAAATTTGTGATTTCAAATGAAAGCTATAATGCCAGCCATCTTCCAACAGTTTCACTGATTACAACTCATCTTGCTTTTAAACATCTGTTTCTGCACATACAAGTGTTTCTCTGCCAACACTGAAATTTAGGAAAAACAGATTGGAAGAATTCCATTTTTCACTTCCACATACAAACTTCAAGTTGGAGAATTCTGATGAAGTTGAATGCAATAGTCTTAATAAATAATCTTTCTCAAAAGCATAGGAATCTGTTCCTAATCTTAATATCAAAAGTGTTGAGAACTCAGTGGTACTGTAGTTCAGCAGCACCTGGAGGTCCACAGGCCTGTGTACTCCATCACTGTGGAAAATTGCATTAAGTCTTTCCTATGCATTACATCCAATTTAATGGATCAATGCCTTTTGCATAACGGAGCAGAATGCTGCAATTTAAAATACTAAGAGGATATGACAGCACTGAAACAAAAGACTATTGTATGAGAAATACCTGAATTCCCTATGTAATTGAGGAGCTATAACACATTTATTCAATTACAATATATTTTCTGGTTGATTTCAATAAAGTTATGTCTAGTGATCCCATGGCTGCATCACAAAAGTAAAACTACCCGTAACCTTTCAGGTAATCCTGGATTTCAGTTCCGATAAACTCAGCCAGCTCATCTGTTGCAGAAGGACATTCAGTCCAACATCTGGTTTCCCATGTCTATACCATTTATACTGTTACATCTTGTGAAATATGTAGCCAAATATAACTGAACAGGTTCTCATGGAGTCTACCCATATTCAACCCCTAGTCCTACTTCATATTACTTTAGAGCAAGCATTACTGAATGAATGAATGAACTTGCTCTTCAGAAACATACTGGGCATCCAACTTGCAATTCTTGGTCCTCATCAAAATCAGTCCGAACCAATTTTTTGTGACCTTCTGGTGTATTTTCAGATTGTTTTGAAGAATACCAGCCCCTGAGTATTACAGATAGTCCTCGACTTCTAACACTTCATTTAGTGACTGTTCAAAGTTAGAACGACACTGAAAAAAGTGACTTATGACCCTTTTTCATACTTATGACCATCGCAGCATCCCCGTGGCCCCATGATCAACATTTGGACACTTAGCAACTAGTTTATATTAATGGCAGTTGCAGTGTCCCAGGGTTGTGTGATCAATTTTTGCAACCTTCTGACGAGCAAAGTCAACGGGGAAGTCAGCTTCACTTAACCACCGTGTCACTAACTTAACAACTGCAGTGATTCCCTTAACAACTGTGGCAAGAAAGGTTGTAAAATGGGGAAAATTCACTTAACAACTGTCTCACTTAGCAAAATAAATTTTGGGCTCAATTTTGGTTATAAGTCGAGGACTGCCTGTATTTTGTTAGCTTTTTCTCCTCTTTTGCTATGTTCTGATGTTTTCATAACAAGTTACTCAAGGAAATCTTATCTGGATTTTTAACCATTTTCCCCTATTAACCAACTTCTTCATTAGGACTTTCCTAGTTTAACCAACAAATAGAAGGTCAGATATTTCAAAAGTGCTCTTTCTTCCAAACCTATGCCATTATCTCACTTCCAAAGTACCCACTCTCTCCTGATGTTGTTTCTCTCTTAAAATATGGCCTCTACAGACAGTATTCTTGACAACTGAAGGCTGTTGTACAGCATACAAATCTTTAAATTCAGCCCTTCTATACTTCCGTATTAACAGTGTAACTTTGTAGCCAACAGGGAATTGTTAAGGAACATTAAATAACTCAAAATGCTTTGCATTCTGCTTTGTGTGTGTGTATATATGTATGTATGCCTCTATGTATTTTTGTGAATGTGTGTGAGTTTATACACACACGGACACACACATATGCACGCACACACATTCGTTGCATAGTGGTCTTGCTTTATTAAGGCCTGAGAGACATCAGTAACCTATATAGATTTTCCTTAACTAATTCATCATGCATGTCCATGCGAGCAAAATGGCTAATTTTGCATAGCAAGAGGGCTCCCAGCTTAGATCTCCTTCACAATGTGGTGCTAGCTTTATGGTTTGATTTTGTTTTCTTTACCTTAACCTTGAGGCCAACACATTTGAAACAGGAATTGGGATAAGCCAACACTCAACACTACAAGAACTCTTTTAGTGCATTGTAGCTCATCAAATGTTGGTTGCAACAAGAATTTTAAAAGGTATGCATCTGTGGCTATTACTGCAAAGATACTTTTCCTAGGACGATCTTTAAAAAGGGGTGGGGTGGGGTGGGGTGGAGTGGGGGTTGAGAAAAGAAAAAGGCCCATCAGCTTCCATTGGTTATTATAACAGATGTCCCCTTGTGTCCCTGTGCTGGATCTTGCTGCATCCGTAGGTGAGAAGTCACATCAAAGTGTGATCCATTGCAACCCAAAGAATAATTCCTAATCGTTTCACTGTCATAAAGGTGCTCCAGAGCAAATCCTGTTAAGGTGTAGGCATGCTTATCGAAGTATTGCCTATGGGAAGTGTAATAATTTGGAGAACTTGTGGGATGATGGTCCCCTGGTGTCTGATGGGGTGACACATTTGAATGAAAATAGTCTTTAGCCAAGAGCAAGCCTGATTTAGACATTCGATCAGACCCAGGACTGTTTATTCTAGATAGCGTTGTGGGGCTGTTGTCATAGTCGTTCTCCTGGGGGCTCATCAGTTTCCCATCCCGTTGTTGCTGTGTGTGTTCACAAGGCGGTGTAGTGGTGATGCTGGGGACTCGGCAGGCTTCTCTCAGCTGTTGCTGCTGATGGTAGTTTGTAAAACAAACAGAGTGCTTTTTCCCAGCTCCATTAATGGAAATCAACTGATCAGGGCTGGATTTCTGTTGCTGTAGCCTGTTCTCTTCTTCTTTAATCATTTGCTGAGTCGCTCTGATTAGAGTTTCGATTTTGCTGGGCTCGTGTGGACTGCCCTGATATTGCTCAGAGTGGTATCGGTCCCCCGACTCACTAGCCGAACCAGGATCTGGGGAACTAACCACACTTTCTTCATCCCAGTGCCCTCTTCCTAAAAACAAAAAAAATGAGCAAAACAAAGAGTATAAATAATGAACAATGGATTTTGCACCAAGTCCAGGAGATCATTCCTTAAAACAAAATAACAGTGTTAAGAATTTTAAGCCATTTACAACCACATCAAAATTCCAGCATATAATATATCTTGGCCCTCATTGATTTACTGCCAATATAATAATATTGTATCTATATTAGCAGGATTCTCTTGTCAAGCTCAGGTTCAGCTGAGGAACCTCTTATCTCCTGACTTTCAGCCTTCTCACCTTGGATGTCTGAATTCACAGAAATCATCAGAGCTTCACTCCTTCCCTGTTTCTGTTCGGGGATGTCTTTATACATATCATTGTAAGTACATATCATTCCTACTTTGTATACAAACTATAATGCTTACAGAGAAAACCATATGTTGCTTGAGAAAGGAGAATGCATAGAGGTAAATATATTTTATAAATATTTTTAATATATATATGTACAGTAATTAAAACAAAAGTGACATCTGTAACTCCACATCTGGTACCATACTGTAACTGGTTCTAATTCTCCCTTATTGCTTTCCGGTCCTCTATCAATGGTGGACTCTTTGTTCATTTTCCCCTACATTTGCAATGGCTGGAATTCCAAGTCTTTTCTTCTCCTTTGGGCAACAAAGCACTATCATGCCATCTCCCTGTCTCAACCAATCCATATCAAAATATCATCTTCAAATCACAACACAGGACAACATGTTAATAGTAAATGTAGTGAAGAATCTTCATTAGCATATATTCCATTGAATATATGTATATGTGTGTGTATCTATCAGGATAGTTGATTGCTATATTATAATTTCAAGTTGTTGGGAGCAATACGTATACTGATTCTGTAAACTGCTTAGAGAGGGCAGTAAAGCTCTATGAAGTGGTAGGTACCATGTATTAGTCTAGGAGGTGCTATTGCTATTATAATTTCTCTATTTTATTAGAAAAAGAGAATGGTTCAACTTATAGGAAAATTTGGTTTTGCAAACTTTCATGGCCTCTTAGCTCCTAACTGGTTCATAGTTAGCAGAGGCCAGCAGAGCCTGTGAACTCTCTGCAGCTGATTTCCTGCAGCAGAAAGCATAGGAAGAACTATCCCAAAGGGAATCTCATTTGACTTTCCGTAAGATAGTTCCTACATTACTGACTGCATATTGCAACATGCACAAATGCTTCTAGATTTTTCCCAGTTTTTTCCAGCATTAGCACGCAGACATTCAAATAAATATCAGAGACCATCAACTAATAAGCTGCCTAGTACAAATTCTCCAGAAGATATCCCCAATTCCCAAAAAAAAGAAAAAAGAAAATATTTTTTAAAAATCTGGTACCATCCCAATTTTTCATACGATGTTGGCAATCCCACACACAATCTCAACTTATTTCAGGTTGTTTCAGTAGAATCTTATGACCTTATATCATCTCTTGACATTTCAGCTTTTTTCCCCTAATGGCTGGGTAACTGCAAAACCGTGTGCTGATACATAAGGACAAAAAAGATTGCACAAAAAAGATTGCACAAAGCATAAATGTGAATATACTGTAAAGAAAAGAATGTATTTACTTCAAAAAGCACCTAAAAATTTAAAAATTCAAATCATATGATGCCACTTAGTTTTGTTTCAAATGCTTCTTTGTAAGACAGGCAGAGATGCAATATATCTTGTCAACATATATTAGCATTTGTGATCAGAATCAAATGACTTAAGTTTGTCTAGTCATGTTCAGTGTCTTATGAGCTGCACAGTCAATTGTGGGTTGAGGAACATTTGAATTGCCCAATACCTTTTATCAATGAAATTCATTTTTAATTTAAATTACTTCCACTCCAATTAATGTTTATAGACTGATGATACAAAACTCAATGACTCTTAAGGGAAAAAAACCTCTGCCTAAATTGAATCCATTAACTGTTCACAATAAAATTGGTAGTTTAGGCTTTCTAACACCACCTGAAGCTGGTTTTGCAGCCATATAACAAAATTGATAAATCAGAAATTATAGTGTTATACAATAATAGTACAGTGATCACAATATTTTGCCTGACCACTGGTTTTCTGTATATATCTCAATATATTTAATGAAACAGACACTAAGTATTGAAATGTTTTCTATTTTAAAATATTTAATGCTGAACTCAGCAAAAGATATTGAACAGTGTGTGAAAAAGAGCAAATTCTATCTTGTAGTAAATAGCACATTATTAATATCATAATAATATACAACACGTCTTTTATAAACAAAAGTATTTAGCACAACCTAACAACCCTCTGGATATGATAAAACCCTGCTTTTCCTAAGAATGTCCACTAGAGTCAACATTCAAAGATTACACCTATTTAATTGTGATTCTATTATCTCTTTCAGACTGGATGCTTACTTACATTAGCTCAGCTTTCCAAATTAAGCTGTGTTTCTACAGTTTTGTAAGTCTCTTATACCAAAAGCTTGGACCTGATGTTTTCAACTGTTCTGAGGGCTTCTCAAAGCTTGCTAGGAACCTCAGTTCTGATGCTGGCTTAGCATTAATCAATGCATCCAAGCCCTTTCTTAATGGGGAATAATGATGGCAATTGCCCATGCTCTATGCATTGACTGAACATCATCAGAACCAGGGTTCAGTCTTTCGGATTTCTCCATGCACTCTACTGACTTTAATGGACAAAAAAAAAATTGACATTGGATCCAGTAAAAAAGAAGGGAACAGTTCAACTGAACATTCTTGGCACGGTGTCTTGAAGAACTCCTGAAAGCACCATATGCAGGAAAAATTAACAGCAAGAGTGCTATAATACAGAGGTCCCCAACCTTTTGGGCACCAGGGACCGGTTCCATGGAGAGAGGTTTTTCTGAAGATCGGAGGGTGTGTGGTTTTGTGTGCTGCCTGCATCTTGTGGATGGGGCTTTGCTTGTTTGTGCAGACCAATTGCTGGCATGCTGTGGCCTGGTACTGGTCCACAGACCGATGGTTGGGGACCTCTGCTATAATACTTTTGTTCTATTCCATTTTTCTCCATGTTTTTTAATTCATTCAATTACCCTCTTCTCTACTATGTTGCATTCAATTGCTAAGCCATTCTATTCATTTTAGACTTTCATTTTATTCAGTTATATAGCACATATGTCTTGCTTTTTAATTATACATGTTCACCCAGTCTCTGTAGCATAACCCACATATCCGTAACCCAGGTAATTGTTTCTGATGTGGAGACATGGGTTATCATTCCACAAAAAGTCACTCCCTTTTTTCCCTCAATTTCCTGAATTTTTGGTAGGTCTCTGTATGGAGTACTTCCTAAAGTTTGGTTTTTCAAAATTCTCCCTTTACAATTTTGTGGTTTCCAATATTATGTGTCTAACCTACTTTTTGTTCCCTCCTCAACAGTTCTAACCTTTCTTGGATCTGATCAATAAATGTGTTAGATTTAACATTTCTTAGCTGAGTATTTGCATAAATAATGCAATAAATGAAGATATGTTTTGAAAAGAGGCTTTCCTATTCATCCTATCTTATCCTATCCTATCCTATCCTACCCTACCCTACCCTACCTTATCCTATCCTATCCTATCCTATCCTACCCTACCTTATCCTATCCTATCCTATCCTATCCTATCCTATCCTATCCTATCCTATCCTATACCAGTGATGGTGAACCTTTTAGAGGCTGAGTGCCCAAACCCACTTATTTATTGCCAGGTGCCAGGTGGGTGTGGCCCACTGGGTGGGCATGGCTGTGGTGGTCATGGCAGACTGGGTGGGTATGGCCAAGGTGGGCGTGGTCACCTTGATGTTGCTCATGGGGAGGGATGCCTGTGGGGGCTGGGAAGGGTTGGGCGAGATCCAGAGGGTCTCTGGCAGGTGGGGTGGTGGGCAGAAGGCTTATCCTGCAGGGTAAGGTGAGGCAGGGTGGGGATGCCATTGTCACAGGGCAAGGTGAGGCAGGGGCCGGGGCAACTGCTGCCTAACACTGTCGGCCCCCACACACAGAGGCCAAGAAGCACATGGGGGTCGACAGTGTTCATCAGCAGCCACAGCCTGCCAGCCCCTCGACTGGCGCACTCTGGGGCTCCGCAGCCCACCATCTTCAGTTCAGAGAAGTCGCCTCTGAGCTGGATGGCCAGCCGACAGCTAAGGAGGCGATGCAGTGGGTCATGCCCGGGAAAAGGAAAGCATGCGAAGCCAGGAGGGATGGGACGGGGGGGGGAGGAAAACCAGCTGTGCTGAGATGCATCCGGCCACGTGGGACTTCGGCGAGTTAGTGGGCAGCTGGTTGAAGAGGGACGGTTGCCATCTCAGGGGCATGGCGCGTGTGCCCACAGAGAGACTTTGAGTGCCACCTCTGGCACACATGCCATAGGTACGCCACCACTGCCCTATACTACCCTACCCTACCCTACCCTACCCTACCTTATCCTATCCTATCCTATCCTATCCTAATCAAGAAGGTCAGCACATTTCTTACCTGGTTGAGAGGCAATGTGTAGAGAGCTTCTAATCTGCAGGTAATCCCTACAACTACATTTTAAAGCAGTGGTTCTCAACCTGTGGGTCGGGACCCCATTTGGGGTCGAACGACCATTTCATGGGGGTCGCCAAACAACGCAGTCCGCCATTTTTTCCCCCTTTTCCTTAGCTGTGCTACTCCCTTTTATTCTATTGGCTTTTGAAAGCCAATAGAATAGACTCTCTTGAATAGAGTCTAATTCTATTGGCTTTCAAAAGCCAATAGGAATTGTCCAGGCTGTCTCTGCCCTGCTGAGCCCGCCAAAAGTCCCTTTCTGCAAACGGTGCTGCACCAGTTGAGTAGTCCTCGACTTACGACCGGTTGAGTAGTCCTCAACTTATGACCGATTGGGGGTCGCGGCATTAAAAAGGTTGAGAATCACTGTTTTAAAGCATCAAGAATATATTAACTCTTAGCTGATACCCAGTGCATATAAAATCAGTTTTAATAGATTGAAAAAGAGGACTAGTGCTAACTTTTATCTAACTTTTAATGAATTTTTAGCAGTCATGAAAAAAGAGAAAATATACTGTATCTCTAACAATATGAGGCCTAGAAACTACCGCAGTCGTAGCATAAATATCCCTCAACGGCATGTAAACTGAGAAGAAGAAATGCAAACACATTTTTAATCTCTGGCTCAAGGTTGCTTACACAAGCGATAGTTCAGGTTGTTTTACAACTTACCATGAATCCTGTGAATGGAGGTTATGTGGGGCATGTTGCTTTCATAGGCTTCTCGGCTCTCAGGAGAAGATTTGGTTAGTGGAAGGCCAGATCGAGAACCCCACCATGCTTCCCTTCCAGGCTGCGGTGTGCCAAGAAAGTACCGACCAGCCTCACACCTGCCCCCTTCGCAGGCTTGAGTATGGAAGTGTCTATCCTCAGTTAACTTAGAATGGTCAAGTGCAAAACCATAGCAGAGGGCACCACGATCCGAATATTGTCTATAGGCACAGGAAACATCATGATGCTGAGAGTTTGGTCTTTCAGTGGGATCCATTAATTGTGGAGATGCAGTGTCAGTCAGTGGACTTCCACCCCACTGGCTTTCATGATCAGATTCAGATCTTTCTGTATGAAACCCAGAATACTGCTGGATAAAAGAAAAGGGGGGAGAGAAGAAGAAATTACGGGTAGATAAGTGCTGATCATTAATTTGATTTTCAAGATGTTTAAGACCAGGTACAAATCAGTGTTCCTGAATAAAAAAAAAATCTACATGCAGTTATGTGTAATATCACACAACCAGCTTGTGAATCAGGAGGGGTTTTTTATTGTTTGTTCAGTGCATATCCACCTCTATTTCATTCTTCCTGCAAATACCTCTTATGGAAATCAAAAGGAGCTACATTCTGTTTTCAGTTGTAACCCTACTGGAAAAAAAATCTTTAAAAGCCATCTCCAGCCTCTCTTCTGTATTTTGCAAAAGCTTTTCATTACAAAGCTACAATTTATCTTGTGAGGCTTCCATTATACATACAAGCAAGTATTCATTTCTGCTGCAGCAAGTAGACTTCTTTGAGCAGCTTACTGAGTCATCAAAGCATTTCGTTCTACCTTCCCTCCACTGAATGCTCTTAAGATTTGCTGGTCTGCCTTTGCCATTATTCTCATTCATGGGAATTTTAGACCAACACACCTCAGGACACTGAGTTGATGAAGGCATCATCTCTGAAATTATATCCACTGAAAAATGTCCTGCTTGGTTTAATCTCCTTTAGTAGAGAAGAATTGATTGGTCTACACGCTCATCAATCCATTCCATCCATTTTATTTATAACAGAAAGCAACTTATAGATATTTGTGTGTGTGTTTCGAGCATAAAGTTTTTTGAAAGATGCATCCCTTACCATACTTTACCCTAATGTGTGCAGGTCATATTTTATTCATTTGCTTTAGAGACTTACATGTCCATCTATCTTATGTGTCATAACTACAGGCAGTTCACTCCAACAGTGATAAAAACATAAAAGAAACAATATCCACGCATCTCAGCCTCCAAAACACAACTCTTGGTGCCCTAAAACAATCCTTCCCAATACATAAATCATTGGCATTCAGTCTCATTCTATCCAACAACTGGGGGAAAGCTGTCTTTTTAAGGCCTTTGGGAAGACTAGGAAATGGGGAATCTGCTGGATTTTGGCAGACAGGGCAGAAGCCATAGAAAACTGCAGGTCCAAGATGGACATAATCTGTTTGTGGTAAGGGATTAAATGTTAACTTTCCCCTAAACCCGAACCACAATATTACTGCACTGAGATACCCCGCCCAAGACCTTTATAAGTATTTTTGCTGTTTTGAAGGAACTGCATCCTAAAATTCAGAACAACATGAAATCTAAAATATTTCAATCTACATATTAATTTGGAAGGTCCAGGTCAAATCTGTTCAAACTGGAACTCATGAAAAATGGTCAATAATGCTGCTCCAGTGAGTTTTACATTTAGATTCTTTGGTTTAAAAATCAGCAAATTAAGATGGTATTTCCCATCTCAAATATTAATATGTAAAACCAGGAACATATTTTGGGAAACGTTCCTGACTTCCCACCTGCAAGTAATCATTTTTAAATTCCTTTTGTCATATTAGGTCTCAGCATACATTATTATTAACAGGATTACTCACTCCAAGTTCTTCTGAACAAATATTTAGAATTACCTATTATTACATTATAGCATCATTTGTAAAGGTAAAACAGTTTTATACAAATATCTTCTCTAGTTTTAAGCCCTACTTAATTCATGATGTGGGAGGGAAAACCTGTCAAAAAATCACAATAATGATTTCAACAGCTTGACTGATGCATTGGAGTTTTGATTGTGTGGCTGCATCCACCATTTTGACTGTTTTCACCCTCTCCAGCTTACATCTCTGCTACTGGATTGGATCCACTGAAAATGGATCTCTTATAAATCTGCTTTATGTATCAGGAGAAAATCTTGCTCGTCACCTAATATTTTTACAGTTTAAATGGCTTTTGCTTTCTTCTGTCAATGAAATGTTGAGACTTATTCTCAAGCAGCCCTACACTAAACATGGCTATAAGACCCCTTTATTATCAGATATAAACTGATTTTTATACTGCCTTTGACTGATTTTTAGTATTTATCCTATCTTCTCCTCACAGTGAAGATATGTGATTCAGAAACCATTAACACAGGAACAATTCACTAGGATTTTCATCTTCACAAGCCCACTCTAATTAAAATGTGCAAAAAAAATAAGCCTTGTTTTGGTCTACGTGACAAGGTGTTAACATTTAATGTCTTGTTTTGACTGGCCTTGTCTAAGAAGGAAGGTTGAAGGCACAACATTGGGGAGGAGGAAAATTAAACCAAGTGGTCTGAAAAAGGGAACAACATGAGAACCCAACATGCATGAACTTAAATTAGAAAGTTGATCTCTGGTCAAAGGACAAGCACAAAGGGGTTACCACTCAGTTTCAGATGACATTTGGCAGAAAATATGCATGGAGATAGGGAGGCTTTTCCAACCATATTTGGAAGTGTCTTCATTTCATTTTTTTCCCACATCATAATTCCTACAAATTGTAATGTAGCTTGTCTAGTCAAATTACAAGACAAGGACTTGGGGCAAGCACTAAGAGTTTACTTGGCTAGGAATTATGCCTGAAATCAATTAGTGCCTTCTCGAACTGAAAACACAAGGAGTTCATATAATCTATTTCTGACCATGTTTAGACAACAAGTGCTTCCCGGTGCAGAACGATTCCAACAAAGATGGATTGCTAGATGCTGACGAAAAAGTGTTGACAATTCCTGAAAGATGGTCTGACATTCAGTGCCATTATTAGAATCCTGAAAGTTCTGTTAATCCAAGAAAATCTTCAAGAATACTTAATTTTAGGGATCAGCTGAAGAGACATCAGAGAATGTATATTTTTTTCAATGGTCATGCAAACAGAACTTTTCATTAATAGAAATAGAATAGGTGCCATTCAGTGTATACAAGTGGCAGTTCATAAGCCCTAAGGGAAGTTAGTTATGAATTCAAAGAAGTGTTTTTAATCCATCTGCTTTTATTTTGAGAAAATGAAGCTGCAGAATTCTGGAATCTGTTTGAAGAAAGCAGGTTGTGAGGATGGCAGCTGAATAGAAGGATTGTCAAAACTTGAGAATGATGAAGCTTCGATCAAATCACTTTATTTTTCAGATACATGAACCAAAGTGAGGACCTGGTTCAAATCAGCAAAATGAATCAGGTGGCTTAAAAGCATTGGGTAGATTTTTTAATTTAATGGGTTTCCTGCTGATTTTGGTGCAGTGACAGGCAATGTATAAAGATACAACATACTTCTCCTGTTGCGAGGGGTTTGCATGGCAGATGCCAACAGGTGTATTAGCACACCCAACATTCTTTGAAGCTTTCTTTCAAAGAGAAACTGCTACACAACCCTAGTAAGCTTTATATTCTTTACAAAGTGTACAATAAATGGGGGACAGGCTAAGTCAAGCATTGGCTCATAATTTTTTGAATAATGTGATAAAGTCTATCAATCATACTTGTTCTGTGTCATCCTCCATGACACTGTATTCAATTGTGCCAGTCTATTTCTGGTAATTTTCCTGCCTCTACTAATTAATCGACTAAGAATAAATTACCAGCAAGTCCCAATCTGTACACATCAGAATTCTGCCAGGGTTGAGATGTTCTGGACCTAAAGAGGCCAAACTTTATCATCATGCTCTTCCCAGCA